TCCCGTTAACCCTCATAAAATGGAAAAACATTTCTCAAAAGACCAAAAACCTTAAAACAGTTGCATGTGTAAAATATCAAAATTACCTACCTTTATCATCACACCTTTCGAATGTGATTGGAAAGTTGGACCGCGTTCGACACAACCAGCAGTATATGTTTCGTCCGAAATGCTCCCCCATGCTGTTCCGGTAATACGTCATAGACACTGGACCTGTGTGGCACAAATCTGACAGGTCGGCGTCGGCACCAGGAGGACATTTTTCGTCGTCGAAGACAGTCATGGGGTTATGACGCCCCCCGGGGCCAATACATGGACGCCCCGGATAACGCTCGGGATTATCGAAGAATATCATGCAATCGGACGTCATCTGAATTTGGTTTAGAATTTCTGTAGTTGTTTTTGCATTCTGGAACGCTTCAGCTTGGTTACTGTCGCAAGCAATTTTCGGCGTCCATGCTTGATGGCTTTCGGCACGATGGCATACTGCACAGTACGCGTTCTTGAATGTCAAATTGGCCTTTGTTGACGAGACAGGGAGAAGAAGGCTCATGTCATTAGTGCTTCCTTTGAATTCACATTTATCCCGAACGGTCTTATCTGGCCATTGACTGGGACAAGTGGATATAACCCAATAGTATTTACTGTAAACGTCCCAAACATCTCTAGTTCCCTGTAACCAACATTCTGAATCATTTGGGTGCAGGGTAAGTCCTGTGACCTTGGTCTCATTGCAATAAAAACTGTAGGGAGAACAGCAATCGCCAAAAATGTCACATACATCGTCACAAAAACAAGTCACCTGAATGACACTGTCAGAGAACATATTCCCTGTTGTGGTGCAAAATGGCCTATTGACGGGGACAGGAAACAGAAAGTATTCTTTCACAGGACTTGCCATTGTTGATGAACCTTCCTCAATAAATGGTAAATCAGTTGTTATGTTGCGCAGAGGAAAATTGTTAATAACAGTTTGGGTACTTGGGAAATGGTTACTATCATTTGTTGCTTTTGTTACTGTGGTGGGTTCTCCACTTTTGTCCTTAGTGACTGTTCCATTCTCGAACTGTCCACTGACGTTGGTAAAATTTGTAGGGAGAAATAAATATGGAAACGCGACAGCAGTCGCGTTATTTACTCCTACAGTTACATTTAAGGTCTCCCTTTCCACGTCAATTTCAGATACTTTCCCCTGCGGAGAAACCCCTAAAGATGTGTTTAAATTAACAGCCCTCGTTTTTCTTGAAATTGCCACCGGCTTGCAAAATGCTGCATGATTCTTGAATCTTCTGGGTTGTAGGATATGCTGATCCCAATTAAGAAGCAAAAACACAAACAGTATTGATGAGGCGATCATGTTTGAATGCGTCTTCACTTTCTTGTATTCCTTGATGATTTTTGGGTGATCTTATATATTAACTCAGCATTTTCAGCAAACCAATCAGAAAACGACAGAGACCAAAGTTACTTGAACCTAATCGCTAACAAAGGCTTTGCGATTTCAGAGAACCGTTACTAGCATAAAAGAATGCTTAAAACCTGCAGTATAATTGAAACCCTTTTTGTTTGTACTCGCTTACATTAAGGTCATGCAGATTACACACTGATTTGCAGCATTTACTGATGCTCCAACAGGTGCACAGCTTGCGAAATACACTGTGTATTCTGTGTACTTATATATACAAAAAAATTAACCATTTGTAAAAATATATTAATACCGCATGAAAATTTGCAAATAAGTTCGATTTCAAAAACGCATTGAAATTTGTGGTTATAAATGTTTTAGAAGTGAATATTTTCAGATAATTTTGGAATAAAATGTTATTTCTTTGACAGCTAGCGGCCAAATTGGATCTGTCAAAACTACCAAACAGTAAAGGGATTTCGATTACCACATTTCTTTTGCATGGTTGGGCTGATAAACAGTTATCAACCAAGATCAAGGCCTTTTATATGCAAGTGTGTGTATTGGAATTGGCGGCCATCTTGTATATTTATATATACCCAAGGCTGCCAAAATGAAAACCAAGCTTAATTTGCTCTAGGGTCCCATTTGAGCCAGTCTATCTTCCGCTGGTGCCGGTGTAACGAAACTGGGGGTCTGTGTAACAGAAAGTCTGCCCTCCATTTAGTTATAATAGTTAGGGTTAGCCTGAGCTAAGTCGGTCAGAATGATAGGGCGATGCTTACCTGTACAAATGAAGGGGAAGCGGACTCTCTGTCATGGAGGACTCTCTGTTACGTAACACCGGTTTGCAGAACGATATTTTGCTGTTGTATATGTCCATAATAACGCAGCTTTTGTTGACATATCTTTCAACAGTCATCTCTGTACTTTCAATTTCTGAAAAACTCTCATTTGATAGCATTTAATTCCAAAGAAAACTTGTGAAAAAAAAAACGTCCAAAACCCCTTTTAGTATGGGTATGCAGTACCTGTCCCGAGGCCAGGTGCTGACTTTATTTGCCGCACAGTGGCAGTGAGATATTCCTCTTCCAAAATGGCATGTTAAAGCAATGTATTCATGTATCATATCCTGGTCCCATAGCAATATGCTTAAGAGAATCGGTTGTTACATGCATGTATAGTGCATATCTCTAGAAACAACCCCTTGAAGACCAAAAAAAAAATTCAGTTACTTTCTAATAAAAAATAAGAGGTCGTTTAGAGTGATAGTACAGTTAGGCTACATGGATATTGCCTTCCATGGAAAAAAAGATTTCCATAGTTTGTTGGATATCTGGGAACTGAATACTTGAAATGACCAATTTCAACTTCTTAATGTGTTTTTGTCCTAAGCTTGAGTCATAAAGACAAACAAAATCAACATTTTGGACACGCTGAGTTACGTTCTGAATGATTCGCCGGAATTGCTATTTGAGCTCTATCACCTGATGGTTAAAAAAACTAATTAGGAGAAAAGGAATACAATACAAAACAGCAAATATTAATATAAATATTTGGAAATAAATATTTGGAAATAAGCTATACCCCTGTATTTGATCTGCTGGTCTGTTAGTCTGCGGATTTTGAATGCAGCCTATGTGACCCCTTACTTTGATCCAAGTCAAGGGGAGAATGTAGGTTGGAGATTTTCTCTTAAAATAAAGGTCTTAGCTTTTTATTTCCATCACATTCATTTAATGTATCTTCAAAACATCTAATTATGCTTGAAACACAGCTCCAACTTCATCGTGTGACGTAATATTGGGGTTTTGGGGAGAAAAACACCATTTTAAACGTATGATATTTTCAGGTATGGTATTATAACACTTGAACAAAGTACTACAAAAGGGAGTCAGGGATTTTTCTTAAAGCCCCCGTCACACTTATTCGAAATCAGCATGAATCAAGCAGAACCAGCCGGAATGACTAAATTTAAAGATTCGTACTACATTCGGAAAGAAATTTCAAATTGACCTAAATTCTTGTAAGAATGTAGTTGGAATACTCAGAATGCGCTTGAATCCGCCTCAGAAAAATCCTCAGAAAAAACATTTTTTGTTCAAAATGTAAAAAGGTTATTCTGTTAAACGTTAGATACACATTTAATTAATAATTAGACATAAAAAACCCCAAATGATGTTTTTTAGAGATATTTGGGTACATTCCCCCCTTAAAGCTCATTAAGATTGGAAAGCACAGTATTGCATATGTTGATTGTGTTTGTTGCGCATTATAATAATGATTGTGACATCCCATTGTGTCCCCCAACAAACACGTTCTGCTGCCAAATCCGTCTGTATATGTTTAGTGTACTTACCTGTACATGTGTTGGTGTCTCTTTCCCCGGAATGCCCCTTGCATGAACTGAAACTAAATCTAAAAAATCAGCTCTGTGTGTGCGCGAGTGTGTGTGTGGTTCTGTGTGTGTGTTTGTGTGTCTGAGTGTGTGTGTGCGCTCGGGCGCGCGTGCGTGTGTGTGGAGCGTGTGTGTGGAGCGTGTGTGTGAAGCGTGTGCGCACGCACGTGCTTGTGTGTATATGTGCATTGTGTGTGTGTGTGTGTGTGTGTGTGTGTGTGTGTGTGTGTGTGTGTTTACAAGGAAATGGAGTAATATGTGTATGTTCTGGACAAACATGGAATATAATAAAAAAAAATAACGTTCTGTGGTTGCTGGGGCTGGACCTTGTGCAATAATATCCATATACAGACACTTATAAACTGTTACATTTCTCGGTGCTGCTACCTAATCGCCCGTACGTAATCGCATGTTTTATCATAGTCTTAAAATGAAGACACTGCAAGTTGTCATAAAAAGTTTCGCGGCATTTTAAATGGACCTGTTAGTCGAACATTGATATCTCTGGTGTGATTGTGATGTCAATGAGCGTTTCGGCTCGACCGGTCGTCTCATGACGTCAGGTAGACTATTTCAGGGTCTAGTAAGGTTCTGAAGGCGTCTCTGGTGAAAAAAGGACAACTCTTCGTGTTGTCAGTTCTGCTTGAGTAATAGTAAATCATCAGTGTTGTGTTTTATTCTTTAAAAATAGGAATAATATCATAATGACGGCGTCTCTTATATGTCAACAGCTTTCTCTAAATCATGAAATCACGCACTCATTAAGCAAATTTTAACTTGGGGCAGCTGCACTATACAATGCGATTTTAATAACAAAATACGAAATCGAAGACCTGTCAGGGAATTTGAATTGTGTCTGTCTGAATGTTTGCCAAGGTGATTTTATTTTATTTATTTACATCCATAAGTGACCTCTGCTCATGAGTTTTTAATTACTAGACAGTAGTGAGAACACAGTTGAGGCCATAGCAAATGTTTGGAAACTCACTAAAAACACAGACAAAATAGACTGAATCAAAATCAAAATCCAGTATGTGATTTATTATGGTTACTTTGGAAAACCTTAGCAACAAGTACAGCTGTAGTTCCTTTAGAGATGGATGCAGTTTGAATTGATTGAGAAATCCAGCAATACTATGCGCTACTCATTGCTTGATTTGTTTCCCCCCTCATTATTCTTTTCTCTTTTTGCAAAAGGTTTCTACATTTTGCCTTGGATTTGCAACGGAAATGAGCAAGCCTTGAGACTGTAAGTGATCCATCTCTTTCCACAGAAAATGCCAGGTTTAGAATTGTTGTTGCCATTGAAACAAACGATATAGAGCCAATCAATAGTATATCTTTCAAAAAACAATCCATACTAAAAACAAAGAGTAACACTTTCTCGCCCCCCCCCCCAAAAAAAAATTAGTGGCCTCTGCAATTTTATTCTCAGTCATTATAATGATAACTCGATGGCAAATTACGTTCATTCTGTTGCTATAAGAATCAGATTGAGTGCGGCAAAATTACACACACATAAATGCTAGTACCATCAGGATTACGAAGGGAATATGATACATGTATTCACTGGAATAGGCAGCATTTGTTTTGACTTCTAGCGTGTCCTTTCCAGGCGATTGTGAAGTAGGGATGGCTGACTCTCTAGAAATCCCGGATGTCCGATTGCTCACAACAAAAACGTCAAAACCGATGCCGCTTACGAAAACAGGAGGAGGGTGTTTTTGAAGAAAAGCTGCAACTTCATCCTCAAGGTGCTCAAACAAACGTAAACCATCACTTAGTCGGGTGACAGGTTTTTTCAGTCTAATTGGTATCATAATAGCTGTGTAATTTAATCCCGCAGACGGCAGAACACAATGGAAGGAACCTCCAATGACGTATTCCCATGCCCTTTGCTGAAGCATCTTGGGGATATCTTTCTCTTTAAACAACACGTCGAACACGTAGCAAAGCTGACGTGCATCAAAAGAACCATCAATATGTTGCTTAGGAATCAGTTTGATGGTCAAAAAGTACTGCAGATTGACGATTTCAGTCAGAGGCAGAAAACCCCACACATCGTTGCCATGGCATTGAAAAGATTGGCAGGATTTCTGAAATAAAAACAAATAAGGGGTTTGTCACTCACGGTGTCTGTTACAGTAGTTTCTGTACAGGGTTTGGTATTACGTACAAGCAAGGAGTTATAACAGATTTGATACAAGTAGTAAACACTGGCAAATACGCAAGGGTTAAGTATATAAATGTACGTCTTTTCTGATAGTTTCACATAATAGGATAACAACTGTTCACTTTGGCCAAAAAAAAAAAGAATTTTCCTGGGGAAAACAACAGTTTTCCCATATTTACCAATGGTTCATTAATCCATTCCTACATTCAAAGTTAGTGCCTGTTTTTTTTTGTTTTTTCTTTTTGTAATAATCTCTTAAGACAAGCACAGATTTCAGAATAACTGCTATAACTACCGTTTTTACTATAACAAGATACATTCACCATCCAGCGGATAGTTTGTTTATACCTATGTCATCAATGTCACGAGTATTGTCTCTAAAAACAATTTCCACACACATCAAAACCCGTATTTTTAATGTGCACCATTGATTTAATTTTGATTTTATATTATTGAATAATTTTTTTCTACATGCAGGTGATATTAACTTCCATTTTATACCTGTATTATTGTGAATTTGAAACATAGATTATTATTATTATTATTATTATTATAATTATTATTAAATCAACACATAAAATTCGATCGTTTAAATTTGAAACAAACATACTGAAGGTTTATTTAAATTAGTATATGGATTCATCATGGTATCTGACATCTTCAACTTAATTGCTGGTGAACTCCAATGCACTTCAAACAACAAAATTCAAGAATAAAAAAAAAAAACCCAGAAGGACAGTAATTGTATGTTTAATATGTCATATTACCTCATCCCAGCTTCCTTGGCAACATGATTCTCTCTTGAAATCTATAATGGCGGAGAACCCGGTCGGTTCAAATGATTTTCTCATTTTGTCATCTTAAAAAAAAAGGGAAAAAAAGAAAAATAGTTCTTGTTACAGTAGCTGTGGATATGCATGTACATGTACATGTTTCACGTACAATAACATAGGTAGAAAACTGCGTTTCCTATTATACCACGTGAGACAATTTTCCCATACACTTAATCTGATATATTGTAGTATTATATAGTACGGTGACTTGTAGGCCCATGAGGCCGGGTGAGGCTCTCACATGTCACGTTAATAAATAAATAAATTTAATCGGTTTATTATGGATACAACTCTCGCTGAGTGCAATCAACTTGACTGAATGACACGCCCCCTCCTGGCGTTAAGAAGAACCAGAAAAAAACATCTCTTAAAAGAGTAATAAAACTTGACTAACAGTTGTAAAGGTAAAATATCAAAATGCCCCACCTTTATCATCACACCTTCGCAATCTAATCGGAGAACTGGACCGCGCTCGACACAACCAGCAGAATATATTGCGTCCGTAACGGTCCCCGACGCTGTTACGGTAATACGTCACAGAAACTGGACCTGTGTGGCACAAATCAGTCAGTTTGACGTCGGCGCCACGAGGGCACTTTCCGTCGTCGAGGCCAGTCATGGGGTCATGACTCCCCCCAGGGCCAATGCATGGACGCCCCGGATAACGCTCGGGATTATCAAAGAATATCATGCAATCGGACGTCATTTGAATTTGGTTTAGAATTTCTGTAGTTGTTTTTGCATTCTGGAACGCTTCAGCTTGGGTACTTTCGCAAGCAATTTTCGGTGTCCATGCTTGATGGCCTTCGACACGATGACATACTGCACAGTGCGCGTTCCTAAATGTTAAATTGGCCTTTGTCGACGAGACAGGGAGAAGAAGGCTCATGTCATAAGTGCTCCCTCTGAATTCACATTTTTCCCGAACGGTCTTATCCGGCCATTGACTGGGACAAGTGGATATAACCCAATAATATTTACTGTAAACGTCCCAAACATCTCTAGTTCCCTGTAACCAACATTCTGAATCATTTGGGTGCAGGGTAAGTCCTGTGACCTTGGTCTCATTGCAATAAAAACTGTAGGGAGAACAGCAATCGCCAAACACGTCACATACATCGTCACAAAAACAAGTCACTTGAATGACACTGTTAGACAACATATTCCCTGTTCTGGTGCAAAATGGTCTATTAACGGGGACAGGAAACAGAAAGTATTCTTTCATAGGACTTGCCATTGTTGATGAATCTGCCTCAATAAATGGTAAATCAGGTGTTATGTTGCGCAGAGGAAAATTGTTAGCAACAGTTTGGTTGCTTGGGAAATGGTTGCTATCATTTGTCGCTTTTGTTCCTGTGGTGGGTTCTCCAGTTTCGTTCTTCGTATCTGTCCTATTCTCGAACTGTCCACTGACGTTGGTAAAATTTTTAGGTGGAAATAAAGATGGACACGCGGTAGTAGTCGCGTTTTTTACTCCTACATTTTCGTTTAGGGTCTCCTTTTCCACCTCGATTTCAGTAACATTCCCCTGCGGTAAAGCCCCAAAAGATATGTTTGAATTAACAGCCCTCGTTTTTCTCGAAATTGCCAACAGCTTGCAAAATGCCGCATGATTCTTGAATCTTCTGGGTTGTAGGATATGCTGATCCCAATTAAGAAGTAAAAACACAAACAGCATTGATAAGGCGATCATGTTTGAATGCCTCGATCGTCACTTTTTTGTATTCCTTGATGATTTTTGGATGATCTTATATGTTAACTCAGCTTTTTCAGCAAACCAATCAGAAAACGACAGACACCAAAGTTTCTTGAATCTAGTCACTAACAAAGAGACTTTGTGGCTTCAGAGAACGGTAACTGATATGAAAGCATGCTTAAAACCTGTAGCATAATTGAAACCTTTTTTGTTTGTGCTTTGTTACATAAATTCATTGCATAATTCTTATTGATCTGCTGGTGCCGGCTTGGAGAACAGCTTTTTTTTATTGGAGTCATGCCGTTGTATATGCCTTAAAGTACGCAGCTTTCTTTGACTTATGTCTTTCAACAGTCATCTCTGAACTTTCAATTTCTGAAGAACTCTCTCATTTGAAAGCAAGGACCGGTATGTTTATGCACTGAGAATAAAATTGGAGTCATTTAACTCTCTAGTCAGAGTCCAGCACCCCTTGACCCTCATGGAGTTAAATTGACTCCTATATAAGGGTAAAATTACCCCACTACCAGAGACTTTAGACTCTCTTATCAGAGTCAATCACCCCCTGGCTCTCATGGAGTCAATCTGTCTCTAAAATCAGAGTCAGACGGCGTGGAGAGAACAGTTTTCATCATCCTTTGTCAGTATAAACATTACTTTATTGGCCATAGTTGGTTTTATGCATGAACAGGTGGTTTTCTGTGTGTTTCTGCATACAGAACTCGTGCACTTATTACTGGCCCGGGCTTTCAGTTGCCCACACCCTTTATGTGATATGTTGGTATACAGGTCAGCAGGTTTTGTTTCCATGTTGTAGGTTTGACCCGCCAATGCATGTCACTGGAAGGTATGCTCACTCATTGATATATATATATGTATCATGCTGTTTATTACCAGATTTGCAAATTGTTTGTTATTGCTCTGCTAACTTCATGTGCGACCGGTTGGGCTTGTGGTTAGAGTGCCCGCCTCTGGATCGGGAGGACGTGGGTTCTAATCCCACCGGCGGCAAACCGGTCTTTAATGTATGGTGCCTGCTGTCTCCCTGCTTGGCAATGTTGTTGTTTTTGTTCTTTTCTACATAATGAGAAAAGGAGTCAAAAATTCCTTAATATTGGGTCATGGTGACTCTTTTGTAGAGATAAATCAAGGGATGAAGGGATGTATGAATGGAGTCAATTGTGACCCTTCTCCGGGGTCTGAAATGGCGTTACTCCATCCCAGTTAACTTGACTCCTATTGGGAGTTATTCTAGGCACCACTGCTGGACTCCAAGTTTGGAGTCACCTGGACTCCGATTTTATTCTCAGTGTGTGATTCTACGCTCAAAACCCTTTTTGCTAGTAATTTTTGCGGTTATGGTCACGAAGACAATCGCTGTTTTTATAATTAAAATTAAAATTGTCGCACTAAGTTATCCTCTTTCAAAAATAGCATTTTTATGAATGCATTCATCCAACACACCCTGTTCCCATAGGACTTTTATCTTAAAAGAGGTATTTGTTAAATATCGTGCATATATCTAAAAACAACCTCCTTAAATACAAAGTAAAAACAAATAAAATAAAAATTCATCGCAGAGATTTACGTTTTGAATGATTCGCCTGAATTGCTATTTGAGCTTCTTTACCTGGGAGTAAAAAAGAACTGATTAGATGAAAATTTTAGGATAAACGAGAGACAAGACAGAAGCAGTGATGAGGTGTTTGTTTTTATACAATGCTGCATGTAGAGCTGTTTATTGTACCAAAGTAACTTGCCTGTTGCATCCTATCGCACTTTAACCAGAACAATGGCGAGTTTTTACCAATAAATCGCTTGATTGCACTCTGACTTGGATTTTAACACTTCACTTCTTCAAATTAAAGTGATATGCTTCCTTCTTTACACGAAAGAGGTTAAACACGAGCACTGCTTTCAGAGGGGTTATACGCTTGAATTGTTGCCACCCTATTGTGTCACAACCAAACTTGCTAACTTGATTGGGATCGTCCG